TTTGTTACTCCCATACCAGGCGACAAGTTTATGGGTTTCAATAGCTGTTGCTCAAGAAACTGTTTAGAAGCTAAGTCCTGAGTCCCGGCGGGTCTAGATAATGCATCAGCTGGTCCGTTCTGGCACCCAGGCCGATAGCATATTTTGAAGTTGAACCTAGAAAGAAATTCACTCCACCTAGCTTTACGTCTGCTTAACAGCCGAGATTTCATGAAATATTCTAAAGCCTTGTGGTCCGTAATTACTTCTACCGGATTCAGAGATCCTTCCAACTCGGGACGCCATTCCTCAAAAGCCTGTAAAATTGCTAACAGCTCCTTGTCGTAGATTTCGTAATTCGATTCAGCCGGACTCATTTTTCTTGAAAAGAAAGCGACTGGTTTCCAATTCCCTAAATTATCCGGCTGTAAGAGAACTCCACCTGTTCCACAGTCCGATGCATCAGTCTCTAAACGAGCTGGCTGATCCCAGTTAAAGTGCTGAAGGATAACATCTTCTTTGAACTTAGACTTAATATTTTTAAATGCGGTTTCTTGAGTATATCCCCATGTAAAAGGTACATCTTTCTTCATCAAATCTGTCAAGGGCATCACAATTGATCCGAACTTATGAATAAACCTTCTATAATAATTCGCAAATCCAATAAACTGATAGACATCTTTTGTATTTTTCGGAGTTTCCCAGTTCTCGATGGCTTCTAACTTAGACGGGTCCATTTTTATTCCAGCAGTAGTGATGATAAGACATAGAAACTTGACCTCTTCCACGTGAAATTCGCATTTCTTGATATCAATCTGAAGTCCCGCTCCACTGAGACGGATGAGTACTTTTTTTACATGTTCTTGATGTTCTTCTAGAGACTGGCTAAAAATTAGGATATCATCTATGTAGGCTGTACAAAATTCATCTAGATAGCCCCTTAAAGTATCATTGATGTAATTTTGAAAAGAACTTGGTGCATTTGCCAAACCAAAAGGCATCACTAAATTCTCGTATAGCCCAAATCGCGTTCGGAAAGCCGTCAAATATTCATCTCCCTCTTTGATGCGCATACAATTAAAGGCAGATATAACATCCAACTTTGTGAAATATTTTGATTTTCCTAAAAGCGACAGAGTCTCATTGATTCGTGGTATAGGATACCTATTCTTAATGGTTATATCGTTTAGGGCCCTGTAATCTACACACAGGCGGAGGCCTCCACCTGATTTTTTGACGAAAAAAACTGGCGAAGATGCTGGGGATGAACTTGGTCTGATGAAACCCTTCTCTAAATTTTCCTGGATGTACTTCTTAAGGACTTGAAGATCTTCGCGAGACATACCATACAGACGACCCCAGGGAGGCTCCGATCCTGGTTTGAGAACAATTTGATGATCGCTGGGCCTGTGTGGGGGTAGCTTGTCAGCTTCATCTCTAGAGAAAACAGAAAGAAATTCGTGGTATGCTTCTGGTTACTTCTCCGCCGGGTCGACTCTTAGTTTTTCTTTGAGTGCCTCCTGGATATCTTCAATTGACACACTCATTATTTTCAAATTTTCTCTAGCAGCATAATCTTCAAAGTCTTGATAGTTACAATATTCTATATTTATCAACCTTTCGGAGTGCCTGGATTTGGAAGATTGTTTCCGATATTGATCAATATCACTTTCCGAGATTGCATGAACCGTGGTTGGAAACTTCTCTGAATGATTTTCACAGGTTCTTTGATTAAACATAAGAAGTTCTTGAGACCAATTGATTTGCGGGTTATGAAATTGGAGCCAAGGAAGACCGAGAACAACGTCAAAACTTGCTAGAGTGGTGACAAATAAGAAGATACGTTCCACATGTCCACCAATGTCAATGTTAGTCTGAGCCATGTGTGTTATCTTTCCATGAACTGAATCAGTTCCATCGAAAACTTTTAAAGAGCGTGGTTGAAACAATGGTAAGATCTCCAAATCCTGAATACGCGCGAACTCTGCGTCTACGAAGCCATGGGCTGAGGCACCACTGTCAATCAGTGCAAAAGTTGGGACATTAATCGATTTCTTATTCTTAATAGAACATTTGACTACAAAGTGACTCATTTTATCCCAAACCTTTCCACCAATGGCAACTGACGAGAGTGTCAAACTTGATGATTTGCCCTTCAGGCGACTTTCTAAAGGGCTTAATCTTTTCCCGACAACAATTTATTATCTTCTATCTCGTCCATTTCCATGACCCGAGCCTGGACCACTGGCTGTGTCTTCTTAGGGCATTCAAATGACCTGTGGCCTATTTCCCCACAGTAGTAACATAGCCCCAATCGCCTGCGTCTTTCTCTTTTGTCCTGAGACAAATTTCCTTTTTTCTCAGGCATTGTTGCCGAAAGATCCATAGGGTCGCCGGAGGCGCGAGAAGAGATTGGGTGAACTGCTGGTTCGGGGTATGCGATTGGTTGATTTGAAACTCCACTGCGAAAACTTGGTCGGAACTCAGCATAGGCGCAGGATCGAAGGCGATTTTCTATGTCCTGCAATCGAGATGCTGCCTCATCAAAATCTAAATATTCAATGTCGCGTTCATGAACCATGGCTTTCTTCATTCCAGACTCAGTTTATTAAAGATCAGGTCCCGCAAGTACCGAGAGTTGCTTTCGTATCCGGCAATGGCCGCATCGCGTCTAATTTCGGCAATCCAGGTTCCAAACTCTTGTTCTTCTGTGCGTTCGAATGCAGACGCGAGGCTGCATCACGCGCTCTGTGTGGGTCACCAAAGATAATAGTCAACTGATCCATCATGTGGGCAAGAGATGGGAATAGCAACGATCCATCCTGAACCCAATTCTGCAAATGCGTTCTACTCTCTGAATTCATCCGCGAATAAACATATATCATTCGGGACTGTTCCGTAGGGTAGTGGTCTAGGTTCCCCTTGATTTTCATCATGACTAACTCCTTCCAGTTGTAAAAATCTTTCCTGATTCCACTAAAAACATGAGCATCTGGCAGTGATGCCGACCTCGATGTGTTTCGACCTTCTAAGGCAACCACTAGCCGAGACATCCAATCCTCATTCACTGTTTGATTATTCACGTTTCCCGGGGTTGTTGGTTTCTTTTCAAGCTTCTTAATTAGTCGCCTTGCCGATTCGAGTTCCGCTTCGGCTTCTTCATTCCTTATCTTCAATGCCTTAATGGCATTGATGACAACAGCTGGGTCGGTCTGAACCCCTTGAACAAATTGCGACACATCTGAAATGCCGGCAATCTCTTCCAATATTCGTCGTTCCTGGCCTGGTGCTTCTTGATTTCCTGGATTCGAGGACATGACTTCAAAATTGATATAACGAGCTTTCAGTAATGTCAGGTTCTCTGGGACTTGGTCACTTAACTTGAGAAAGGTAGGCGTGAGATCTTGGATTTTTGGTGGTGAAGATGAAATATTAACAAAAGTCTAGGTTCTTGATTCTTGATTCTTGAATAACTAAGGAATAATACAAGAATCAAGAACCTAGACTTTTGTTAATATATCATCTTCACCATCAAGAATCCAAGATCTCACGCCTACCTTTCTCAAGTTAAGTGACCAAGTCCCAGAGAACCTGACACAGCAATTATCACCCCTCCTGAGTCTGACTCACTATCGTCTCCTACGCTATTGACTGAGGCCTGTTTGCCATTGCCCCTGTTTACCCCAGAACGGTTATTGCTTCCCTGTGCCAATTCTGGGTGTAGACAATAACAATACTTATTCTTGTGCCGATGTTTGCACCTCTTGCAGTATGCTTCTGGGTCTACGTTGATACTGTTGGATACGACCGCAGCCACCGTGTTGGGTGTCTGGGTCCGATTGCCTGCTACAGATCGCAAAGAAGACATCAGAGTTTGCAGTGGTGCATACTTGTTGTCGGAATCGAATGCTCTTGTATCACGCCAAACATTTAGCCATTCGATCCTCTTCGTTCCCATCTCAAAAATGGCTGATGCATGACCGTCACCTATGCAATACCCAGAGGCTAACGGCCGAGTAGAAATTGCATCGGCCGCGTTGTTGACACTCTGGTATGCTGCTAGGAAACGGTCAACATAATCATCAGCAGTACTAACAAACCTGATGCTCAACAGTGTTTCGAGTGCTGCAGCATATGGTGCGGTTGCAGTTTCATTCCTGGTCCCGGCTACAGTGTCGTAGAGTTCTTTGGCCGTCAGGATGTCGTAATGTTGGGGGCAGATGGTCATAGATAGTCGTTGGGTGATGATATTTTTTGCTTCGATTTCTCCCAAAGTCCAGCGCTCGAATTCATCCAGGTACTTTTCCGTGAGTTTATCGGCATCTTCGGCGTTTGGGCTCCCTATTAAAGGATCTATAGGGATGTTGACTGGACGGATCCCAGGCATGTCATGAAAGACATGTCCCAGGACGTTTTTGCGTCCAAGTTTAGCACGCAATGCCATTCTCCAAGCAATGAATGAGATACCATTACCAAGAATTTCCTTTGGATCAGTCATTTTCATGATGCTTAATCTGTGGTTTTTCACAATGGTTAGCTAACTCCTGTAAGTACGTGGATGCGCTGAGCTCATAACCTGTTATGATAGGTCTATGATTCGGGTGTACATACAATTTGTGGGAGCTCGCTGCTAGTGATCACAGATGTGCTGCTGGGCCGGACAGGTCAAGAAGAGGAGTGGAGAATGATCTCTGTAGAATGAGGAAAGACTGTATTGCTTGCTCTATCTACTGTGGAGGAAAGCTCTCTACTTATAGTCTCTAGACTATTGCTTACTAATTATACTAACTCAACAAAGCAGGAGCAAACAGAGCAAATGCATGCAGTCGCGTGACCATCATAACTGGAGCTGTGCACTGTAGCTATGTGGGTCTAGGCACAACATTATATGAGTAGAGCGTCAATATTATTTTCCTGTACGGGCTGGAGAGCCATATTATGCGCGTAAGCTACTCTTCCAAAATTTGCTTGCATGATTCGGATTGGTCTGATTTTTAGATTTTTCTGTCTCCTGACCATATTTAATGGGTAGGGTTGAGTTCAGTGAGGGTCTCAGCACCCCTCTTGGCCGATTCCTGAGTGTACCTCAAAGTATTGGCAAGCTCTCTGCGTCCAGCGGCGCGTATATGTCGCAACTGTGCCTCTGTTGGGCGAACGAATACACCATGATCTCTACGTGGACGAGCCGGGCATGAGATACCAGTAGATTCGTGAGGCCCACGGCAATTTAGGCACTGTATTTGTCGTGAGTATGGACCTTCGTGAGAATCCATTCCGCAAGCGGCGCATTTAAACTGTCGGGCGCAGGTTCTTGTGGCGTGGAAGCCAAAACATTTAGTGCAGGTGCGCAATAGCTGCTTGTTCGAAACTCGTTGGACGCTTGTTGCTTGTCCGAAAAGCTGCATCCGGGATGGCACTTTATGTGCCCTCGCCTCAGGAACATGAATTCTGATGTGCCCAAACGGGCTCAGAGAGTCTGTAGACCGACGCGTCCAGGCTATGTGTCGAATAGGAGTGGCATCCTTTATAGCTCGAATCGCCGGCTCCTCTAGTAAAAGCCCTTTAAGTGGACCATAGGATCCGTCTAATATGTTAACTTTCTTTGGAATAGGAGCGACAACAAATGTCGTCCAAGTCTCTTGTCTTTCTACCGTAGCATTCCCAAATCTTGCAGCAATGGCTTCACTATGCTGTAAAATACTAGCTGCTTTTTCTGGCGATGCGGCAAGTACTGCCACGCCGGACGGAACCAGCAATGCGTCGACTTCAAGTGATGGGTCGGGGATCAGCCTTTGAACTTGTTGGCAGGGTAAAAACGGGTCTACTTTGCGAGCTTCGTGTTCTCGATCTAGCCGAATCATGATCCTTTTGTCTTCTTTGCTCTGATTCTGGGGAGGCGTCGGTCTTGTCATGGGCCGACGTACATCAATGTTTGTTCCGGTCGAGACCCCTGCAGCCGCTTTGGAGGCCCATGTCCTTCTGTTGTCACTTTGAGTGGAGGGCTTTTGCTCTTGCTCGTTTATTGAGCTCTTGTAAATCTTCTGTCCTCTGATGGCTCGTGATATCCCTCCGAGATAAGGGCTAAGAAGTCTGCACCCGCTCCCGGGCATTCCTTTTCCATATCTTCAAGGTATGGTCCAACTAAATTAAGTAAACCTCTGGCTTTTGAGATGAGGGAAGTGTTGTAATGGAAGTTGTGTAGAGAAGCGTAATCTGTTAGGCTTGTATTTAATATCACCTAGTCAAGCGAGTTGGGAGATTGAAGAGTCTGAAAACTACAGTGGATAGTTGTTGATTATACCCACTTAGTATCAGAGCGCTATTTAAACCAATTACTACATCTAAGTGAAGGACACGATTTACTTATTTATGCTAAATAACTGGGAGGCTGGTCAATGTATGAGTCGTCATGAATGTGGCTAGTAATAATAGAACCTTACTACGTTCCGTATTAATGCGACTCTTCATTGCCAAGTAGCGCCAATTTCAACAGGAAGTACGGTAGCTCCCTGCGGGCTCGCTGTTTTCTGTGTCCATTGGGGTCACGCTAGGTTCCTCTTTGTCAACATCTATTTGCTGCGTGGGGATTGTACTTTCAGGAAATGTATTATCTGTCTACTGATCTTCTTCGATCATGTCCTTGTCCCTAGGACTCAAGACCTGGTGAGTGTCGGGAGGACCATTTTGGGGCACTAATGCCTGAAGTCCTCTAGAAACAGCGAATCCAGAGATTGTTGCATTCAGCTTCGAATTTGAGCGGGTGGCAATGCCATCACTTAACTACCCCCGTCCAGAGTTACTTGCGTGTTTCTAAATGCGATGCTTTGCATCCAGCGCCTCGGACACCTCGCGCTTTCTGCCGCAAGCTGGAGGAGCCATATCCTTTACTTAAAGAACAGGCTTGGATTTACAAATTTAATTTGCTCTGATGATGGAAGTTTTTGTGGAATCCTGAGAATATGAATGGTCATTGAATGATTGACGGTGCGACGTGATGATACGGGGCGAGAGAGTATACAAGATAGAAGTCAAGAGACAAGATATAAACAAGATACGTAAGATGGAACGTAGACAAGATATGGAAATCTAACAAACGTCTTAAGTCCATTGTTACGGTTTGACCGTGGTTTAGCTTAGGCGGAGACCTAAGCGGAGTTTGGGGGCGTATTAGGGAGAGTGTTACATATTATCTTGTATCAAGCGACTAAGTCTCACTTGGCCACATTACATTAAAGCTAGGAAGGAATGTGAGACGGCGAAGTAGAATTGCCAAGTGAGAGAGTCAGCTAGATGGCAAAGATGACGACGGGCAGTGGCGGAGCAATATGTCAATCTCACCAACAGAGTACGTACTGGATGAGCTAGAAGGATGTACAAATAGTCATTGCCCGTAGTTGTGATACTTCTCCCTTCATATAGTTTAATATTTCTAAAAGTACACTACAACCAGCTTGGTTTCGTCACATCCATTGAAGACGTGAACGAGGACTACTTAAGGGTCTCCTCGGACTAGCTTGACGCTGGTGTCAATAGTAACAACGGTCCTCTCTATTCCTATACAGTTGTGTTACTATGACAACTGGACCCCCCACCGCTGCTTAGGCATGCTTTCAACCTATTATGGAGAGTCATGATATAAACCATGACAATAACCAACTACTCTAAAGCTACTAGGTTTAATGCCGATGTCGCTCCTTACATCCACTATATCTTTGTTTGATTTCATTATCCTGATTTGACGCTTTATGGGTCCATGCAGGTGACTATAAACCTATAAACCTATCTATACATTTACATAGGAGGAAACCTCTTGGTGAAAACCTCCCCAGCTTTCTGATTTGTATACTTGGAATTTGCAATTTACTCTTCCGGAAACACAGTTACATTGTAGTGCCGTCTGTGTGTACCAATCACGTCCCTTGTACCGGACCCAACCTTGTGCCAGTCCTGTATCGTTCCCTAATTAGCATTTTGACTGCATTTGCTATGCGGAATCGTTCTATTCAACAATTACTAAGAATCCATTGCGTAACTTTTTTAATATCACCAGGATTGTTTATCATTGCTTCAAAGGAGCGCTTTCGGACTTTTTCCAGATCTATCCTCTACCAACTGACCACCTAGGGCAGGACATGATCACGTGCTTGGGGTTTTGTGATTGTTAGCCACACGGACAGCATGGATCGTAGACTCCTGGTACCTTTCTTCTGTGCAAATACGAATTTAGCCTGACGTGCCCGCTTCGAATTTCGATTATGAGGCTGCTGTAGGTCTTTTTCAGACTATGATAGAGGAGAAATGGCGATTCCTGGAAGCTTATTCTATGTTGTCCAGAAATTCTGCATTGGTAGAGCCTAGTTTCTTTCCGAGTCTCAGGATCTGCTATAGCAAGTTTTTGGTGACTGTCGACTTCGCTTTAAGGCAGACCAAAATTTTGCCCGTTCCAGGTATGCTACAACCGTCACAGCTTGCTTCTGTAATTCTTTGAATTGCTCCTCTCCGCAAATTTCTCACTAGTAGACAAGGTCTGCTCTTCTATTATTTGCTCCATTATCTTCTCTCCGTCTTTTGGGCAGCTTGGTCTTATTCCATGCAGATTGAACAGCTTTTTGGACTAGTAGTGAATTTGAACGGCCTACATATTGGACTCTTTGTTGCTTGAAGTAGATTTCTATCGGAAGGGTAGCGATTCCATGTTCCAAAACTCTGGTGCCAGTCGATTTATATGCCCCTGTCACTAATTTTAAATAACTGTTTTGAGAAATTCGAAGGGGTTTGGAAGGTTTTCGGTATTTGTCTTCCATTCTCTATTCCATCTATTTATTTATTTATTTATTTATTTATTTATTTATTTATTTATTTATTTATTTATTTATTTATTTATTTATTTATTTATTTATTTATTTATTTATTTATTTATTTATTTATTTATTTATTTATTTATTTATTTATTTATTTATTTATTTATTTATTTATTTATTTATTTATTTATTTATTTATTTATTTATTTATTTATTTATTTATTTATTTATTTATTTATTTATTTATTTATTTATTTATTTATTTATTTATTTATTTATAATATTTAACGTCGTGCCCGCGTACAGCACGTGAGCTTCTCACGTACCGGTAAACCTAGTCTAAATTAAACTTCCCGACGTGTTAGCGTCTACACAGGCCCAACAAAGCAAACGAAAACCAGTATCTTATTATCCTGAGCTCGAAGTTTGAATTTACATGAATATCGGCCTCCCGTTGTCTCTCATGATTCACAGATTTTATTCAATGGAGAATACAAAGCAAAGAAATGAAATTGATAGAGGGAAATTAGTTACATCACTTTAAAGCTCTCTAGCTTTTATTACATGACCAGCTATTAAATGGATGAACTCCCTCTGCTGTAGCAAGAGTCCAAGATACGCTGGGATTAGAATTCTGTGCCCTGTGGAGCTGAGCTTGGTATTGCCCAAGGTGGCAATAGAACAAGTGGTTGGGGGACTTCTCTTCTCCGCATGTGCAGGTTAGAATGGCATTTTCATGCTGAAACTGTCGTTAGTAGTCTGCAAAATTGCTATGTCCAGAACGCGCAGCTAATAGATATCCTAGTGTGCTTCGCCCTAGACGAGCGAGCTCAATGGCGATCTTAGTATTAGGGCCAATGACTTATTCCTTGCATCTAGAAGGTGCATTTTCTGCCCAATATAGTGTGACTGAAGCCTCGTATTGGGCTTTGACTTCTCTCCCTGCCCTCGCAATGGAGAGTTCTAAGTGTGGAGCTGGAGCCGCACAGGCAGCTTTAGCAAGCGCGTCGGCAACTTCGTTTCCAAGAAAACCTGCGTGGCCCGGGCACCATCGAATAGCAACTTCCCTAGGTATCGTATTTTAACCGCGTGACCTCCTTCTCCAGCTCACTGCGAGCTTGCGGAAGTTAAAGATTTTCGCTGAGCTAGACGCTGTGGGAACATCAGAGATAAGACGGATGGCAGTCTCCTGGTTTTCAAGGCAGACAGTGACGTTAGAGGCATAATAGGCCAGTGGGTTGCGAAGAGCTGCGGCAAGATCTTCAGTGGCCTCGGCAATTTCTGCATCATAAACTTCTGCCGAGTTTCCGAGCGGGAGTGATCCTCGCCCAATCTCCAGCGTAAGACCTCGGTAGATGACATAGCCCGCACCTGCTCGGTCTTCTATTAGAGCTCCGTCGGAGAATACGAACAAGTCTAGGGTAGGTCGTGTAGCCTGCCATTGTTTGAAGGGATTTGGTCCCAGGAGTCTACCTACTGCCCCAATTTCGATAAGCTTTTCCTCACGGGATGCCGACCATGGTGGGGGTATGGTGTCATCGGAAAGTTCTAACGGGATCCTCTGGCGGATCCAGCGCATGCGACTAGTATTCCAACGCCTATAAAGAGGATGGTACTGGTCAGCTGCAGCAGTTCGAACCACTAGACGACTGTGAATTCAGGAGAGCCACGTCTGAGCTGGGCCCAGATCAGCTTCTTGTAAGAGTGCTGCTATTGGAGTGGTGCGATAGACTGGGAGAGCTGCCCTAGCCGCGTCGTTCATCTTGTGTTGGAATTGCGAGATGACCTTTTGAAAAGTCTCTTTAGAGTACCAGGTCTCGGCCCCATAGATGAGGGTTGCAAAGGCGGCACCTTGTAGAGCTTGTCTTAGGAAAAGAGGGCTAATTCCTCGTGCAATCATCGAGAGTTTATTCAAATGGTTCGTGATAGCTAGAAACTTTCGGCGAGCCTGTAGAGTGTGGTGTTGGATTTGAAGTGCACGGTCAAATTCCCTCTTCTATCAAATTGTACATTTGGAAGGAACTGTGAGTGGTCACGTGATAACAGGAACCACACCTCAATCTTTATGTAGCTAGTTGGATTATCCGACTCTAAGTATATTTTTGGTGAGTAATGAGCTAAATCTCTTCTGTTTTCTAGCTCAGACTAAGCTCCTATTACAAGTAACATTTTTGATGAAATTTTAAAAATATTGAATTACAACCAGAAGCTATCTCATTGGCACTATTTGACTCTTCAATTCCATACAGAGCTAACAGTTGACCAGATAATTTTATAGTTAATATTAGATTTCCTTCACCACCATTTCCTTTTCCCTTGCCACGTCCAAAACGACGCTTCTCCATTTTGCACCATTTTTCCTTCTTTTTCGGCCGTCATCCAGCCACCTTCGTCGACACCACCACAACCCTTCTCTTTGATAATCCTTAGCATTGAACGTGTAATTTCCTGTGCTGAAAATATACTTGGCATTCTCTCTTCTTGATTATCTCTATGAAAAGTCTCTGCCGTTGGTACTTCAATTGGGTGAATCACTAAAACGATTGGAATCTTAAGCCCTTCTCGTAGTGTTTTTTTATGCTTCTCCACTACCAAGTGCTTGAGTCCTTGAATTAACGCAGCTCTACAGGTTGCATAAACCGCACACCCACCCTGCAAAATCGAAGGATACTTGGACAGACCAAAATCGCTATCGAGAAACACCAAGGTACGGATTTGAATCAATGCCGTAGATATGGAGCCGATGAACCGGCCTGGGTTGTAGAAATTTGGTGGTGAAGAAAGACTGAGAAGGTGCTGAGCTGTTACCAGAGGTCCGACAACAATATTATGAAGAAGATAGGTAAAAGCAGAGAAAGTACTAGTAAAAAAATGCACGATTAGCAATGAAGCAAAGCCTCTGACTTTCATTCAGTTAATACATATGTACACACGTGATGAGTTACTGGACAGGGTCATACAACTTACATCTCAGAGATCTGCTCTAAACAGCTCAGTCGCCCTGGATTAATCACGGCACAATCAATAATCCCTTTTTCTAATACTCGACCCATTCTTCCTAGCTTCCAAACCTCTTCTCGAAATGTCCGGATACTAGACTCGTTGTCCAAATTGCACTCTAGTATGCTCAAGTTTGAGCCATTTGGACCTCCCGTCAAAGACCACAGTCGACTGGCATCCCCAGTTTCTTGTGGAGGAGCTGTCGCTGATGGTGCTCGAACTGTGGCGATAACAATGTCCCCTCGTAGGAGAAGTTGGGATACAAATTCGATACCAAGACCTCGAGAGGCACCAACTATTAGCCATCTTTGTGGCATATTTAGTTGGTCTAGTTCTTTGCTCTTAAATATACCTAGCCATTAGATAAGTGAATGGAGATAATATTGAGAAGTTTCCTGAAGGGGAGACTGAAGAATGAAGTTAGATCTTGGCACTAACGTGTGTAGGTGCGGGTCGAATGGCAGACCCCATATTTTTTCCACGCAATATTATTGTCATCATCAATGCTACCATCATCATCATCGTCATCATCTTTATCTGTATTATAATTTGGCGATTCACTATCCAGCTGAAACATTTATTTGCCAGTCGTTACCCAGGGGCATAAAAGCGTGCCAACCCATCCGGCACCTTGCAGTAGATCATCCGGCAATACATTCCCGCTTGCCACTGTCTTGTAGAAAATATCGTTTACAATGACTCACAAAACTACTATGGGCCAAGATACCGACTTGAGAACCGGAGAAGGGCAAGCGAGTTTGTCCAAAGATAATTAGTATAGCTTTAAATTTATAGACACCTGGTTAGACTTTATATCAATTGTTAGAGCAGGTACGTATTTACGATATCTTGGACAGACAGCCAAAAGCTGTAGTTGTAGGCTTTAATTTCATCATTCATTTGTTATTTGATTCAATTTCTTTCCGACGTCGAATTCTTTCTTGATCTTGCTCAACCTTTTTTAACCGCCACTCACAAGTCTCTGCAAAGTCACAACTCTGACACTTGAAAGCGTCGCTAGTAATTACTCCTCGCGCTTCTCGCTTACCTTCCCACCATTGCATAGTATATTGAACATAGCTTGTCAATTGCTCATCGTTCATCAGAAATGTCTTGCTTCCGATGATATGACCCCCTACCCCCGAGCGATACTCAGCTTTAAGTGTACGACCCAAAGAACTTACGCCTTCCGGAAAGGTTTTCTGAAACTCGGAAATCATGAGTGCCCATAGCGTCGAGAGGCAATTGTGTTGAAGTAATACGGAAAGTGAGTCTCGGCGACTACTCGATCCAGTTACATCAAAGGTTATTTCACTATTACCACCGATCTGTGCGAGGAAATTGTCTGAAAAAATCTTGTTAACATCAAGATTATAGCGAGCAGCTAATACCTCAAAATCAACTAAGTTAGTTATAAGGGCAGTGATTAATCGATGGTATAACATGAGTTGGTATTTGGTCGGTAAAAAGCCTATTTGTGATGGTAACCTTTCAGATATCCGTGTTTTCACATCACACAAGTAGATCTTTTTATGTTCAACTATACTTTTAGGCCCATTTGTCATTTCCATGCAAGAATTCCCGCCAAGATTTTTATGGAGTTTTGTTGTTGATCTTTCAAGATTTATATCAGGACATTCATAAGACAATTCGTCTATTTGGCCACTAACCAATTGCCCTTCTACAATTCCCCAGATATAAAGTTCTCTTGTAAGTCCTTGTTCGCGAAGAGTATGCAAGCCTTGCACAATGTTCCATAATTTAAGTCCCCATTGATCTTCTTTTGATTGTACTGGGATGTGAACGGTGGTGAATATTTGATCCTCTAGCTTTTTGTGAATTCGGCTGCCACGCTTCATAGCAGGTGTACGTTTTTTTTCTCCATGTTTTGTCAACATATACCAGTACTGTAGCTCACACCACGCCGGAGAGACTAAATCAGTCACTGTGAGATTCCGGGTACGAGTTCGAAAGAGCTCAAGTGGAGATTGTGTATCTGGATTTCCTAGGTCAAGTGAAGGTGTATTTTTATGGAGACTGCTCTCATCTTGTGTGGCATACTTTGCTGGATCATTTCATGTCAGTCCTACTATTTTCTGAGAGCTAGCAGAGGGGTTCGATATGACTCACGATTGGAACTGTCGGCCGAAAAGATTTTTTGACGGCTGAGTGGCTCAGAAGTCTCTCCCACGGCGTGCGCAAAAGCTTGCAAGGTAGGCGTCTGGGTATCTTCTGCGATGGAATTTGTGGGACGAACGCTATTTTGTGAATCATGTGATGGCTCTTCTTCATTCTTATCATCAGCGTGTACAAGCAGCGATTTTTCGGCAATCCTTTCTGTCTCCAAGGAAATGTCCGAACCATAATCGTCTTCGTCCTCTGACGACGCAATAGCGGCATGCAAAACTAGCGATCCCATCCTAGTTACCCATACTTATACTCTTAGGGCCACGCTTTCAGAACATGAGATAATTTCTTTTTTGTGTCTTAAATTAGCTGAAGATAAGGTTAAACGATCACTACGGGATCATGTTGGATTGCTAGCGCATCAGGTCCTGTCTGTTTCACAAACAGAAACGCCCCGGTAGCAAATTGTAGTGACCAATCACCTTTCTCCTTTGGTACGGCATTCCATTAGCCCAGATAATACAACCCATCATATACTTCCTTTAAAGCTTTTATCCAGCAATAAAGTCTCTTCACGGGCTAGCAGAAGCAGGAAAAAATTATATATAAAAAATTTTGCCTAATTAATGTAATTAAACCTTGTTAATAGAGTAAATATATAAAGAGCGTCTCGCTGATAGCTTTTCGATTAGTTTAACTCTGTCGCTCATCTTATCGGGGTAGCGGGTATCCGAATCCATCACTTGACCAAGTCGTTAGTGTTGATTATATGGTACCTTGGATCCCCCCTCGAAATTAGGTCACAAAGATTGTGTATAGGCAGTAGACAATATTCGTAAATGAAGAGAAGGAAAATTCAACGAGTGTCTCGTTAGACTAATCTACGAATAAGCAACCTCAAACGAGATCGCCCTCCGTTAACGTGCAACTACAGCGATACCAAGCTTAACGATACTTACATTTCCCTGGCGATTATTACGGACAACGAGAAATTGTTCACTCCAGAAGTTCATATCAATCCCGCCTAGCCCTTCGGGTCTTCAGCTCCGCGATTTTATGCATACAATGTCGATCATTCCTCTGCCATGAAACATTTTTAAATACCGAGTGGGAAACACCATTGAGTTTCTACAGTACATGCCTCGTAATCCCGGCCAATCAATGCCTGCGCAAGGTCCCGACAACTCCAAAAAGTGTAGCAGTTAGTGCTGGGCCCATGAGATTCAATTTTTACCAAGACTTTCTTTCTTCGGCGGCTACGTCCCGCTGCAGAAGAGGTGGAGTAATTAGTGAAGTGTATTTGACACTCTTCAAATTTTTTTGCTCTCAGCTCCTTTGCTTATGCATGAGTTTACTTTATTCTAATGGTACAAAAGCCTTGATCAAAATTGCGACGTGCGGTGCAGATATCACGACAATAAGTTTGAAGCGAGACATCATATCGATCAAAGTACGACTGTGAAAGCGATGTCTTTCTCACAAGATCTGCGCCCATCAAATATACTCAAGTTCGTGGTGCCATAAGCTGTTTGAGGAATCTATTATCGGTGAGGAAGCGCATGGAACTTGCACTAACCACTGCAAGCATGCGATGCATCTTCGCCCAGGGAAGGCTGACGTGTAGCGCTCACGTGCGGTGACATAATCATTGCATGACCACACAAGAGTATTAATTCCATCTGGCATTATTATCAACTACTCTGAGAAGCACAGCATGCCCCTGGACAATGTCGGGTTACATGTAACTAATGTTCCGCATAGGAGTTGCCCGAATATCTGGGCGTCTCTTCGCGTGGGATCCTCATCAGTAATCGTACCTATTGTAGAAGAGATAAGCACCTCATTCCGCGTTGACAGTCACCCGCAAGCTGTGGTGATGGCCTTTGCCAAATAGAATTACTCAATTATATCACCTTTACAGGATTATAACTTGTGTACGGCTATGTAAGTCGCTATGCCCTACTAAAGGTTTTAGGTTATTTCAGGGAGTCAACGTATTCGTACAACTTAGACGTGTTCAGCGCAAGCATAATTGGATTAGCTATTTTTGAGATCACTCTATACTGCACGTAAGTGAAAGCTCAACTTACGAATAAGTATTTCATTGAGCGACAGTTAAACCCTGTGATTGCTGCATAACAGGTAGCGTAGGGATGAAAGTTTAGTTATTCATGTGGATATTGTTTATAGATTCAGGGTGCTTTAGGGCGCATCAGAACACTTGTAAATACATGACATAAATTAGGCGCTTCGCAATGTCACAAAGTTAACCTTAATCAAATCAAGTGTAACAGTGTCTCCATTGTAATAGAGCTTGATTGGGATCTAACTTGACAAGAGTGGCGCCACTTACTAAGTTAACCCAGCACTGTGCCTTCAATACTAGACTCAGCACTTATTTTAAGACGATAATGAACAAATAGTGGACGCAAGGAATACCACGAGAGGTGATAAACATTTAAATGTACTCATTGTAGATAGTGCATGGCTATACTTGAATGCTAGACTGAATATTTGAGCTGATTCAGCTGCTGAGACAGACTTTTGATGTATATTTTTTGTATGCTTTCCAGCTTTTGCTGATCGTTATAGTTATTCGTTAAACCCCGTTGGAGCACTAGAGTCTGTAATAGAATAATAACTTGACTGGGAGGATAGAATAGCTGTCGGTAATCGAGATATACCTTGTACCACAATTCGTAACTAGAACCATTTACCAGTAACAGTGCTCAAGATCATGTTCTTCTTTTGTTTTTTTACAAACTTTCCCACATCATCTGCCCAGCCCTGGCTATTTTCTTGCACTTTGTCCATAGTGTTTTCGACAAGATTTAGTTTTTCCGTACGTTCATTTATTTGACGAGACATGTAATCACCCCAGCTCTCTGAGTTTTGGCTTTCGGGGCCAGCCGATGTATCAGTGCTCCGTGCCTTGGAACCTGCTGTACTTGATACAATTGATGTTTGTTTAGAGGGTAGACGATCAGGTCCCCCGATTAACTGATCAAGATCCGCTTGAGAGACGAATTGTGATCCCGTAATCCATTCGAGATTTGAGATAGTTGGGCGTGGGGGAGTCTCGATTTTTGAATTATAAATTGTGTGGCTGTTGCTAGTTTTAGAGTGATTGGTTTTCCAAATATTTAAGATGGAAATTTCAGAGGGACCGGTCCAGCCATATACTCGGCCTACACAACCAATTTTGGCAGACGAAAGAAGTGAGGCTTCTAGCACAGAAATTTTAGCGGAGTTTACCTCTTTTAAGCCCGGAAGAGAGAAGGCTCGTAAGCTAGCATCGCCAAAGATGCAGGTAAGGATATATCTTTGATTTTCAAAAGCCACAATTTGAGCTGCCTCACAAAAGTGACTGTCTAAAGTTTTACTTGCACCTTTAGAAGTTGCTGGTCTAAATATACGGATTTCAGTTTGCGAAACTAGTCGAAAGCATTAGATATTTTACAGCAAGATTATTTGGAGTCGTACCAGCTACTATCACAGCATCAGTTTGTTGTCCTAGTGGTAAAGCTCTGACTGTGTCTGCAGTTGCTTTTGCTAGCTGTCCTGAACTGGATTTGATTGGAATAATAGAGATTATCTTGTCAGATAGTAATGATGCACCGACGTACTCTACAGTGTAAGGTGTTTCAGAGCCAGGTAATATCTTAAACGTAAGGATTTTTCCGAGATAAGTGCCTACAAAGCAACAGATACTTGAGTAATTATCTCCGTCAAGGTTCATAACACTAAATTCGATAACCACTGGCCAGTCTTCTAGAATATTCGATTGTCCTTTTTTTAACTTCGAAAGAGCACTTGGTTTATGTGGACTAACAATTTGACTAATAGATGAACTGTAAATGACGGTAGGACCTCGTAGATCTATGATTAGGATTCTACCACATTCGGAGCCAGCACATACAAAGCCCACGTTTGACATTTTTACAACAGTGATGGATTTCTGTGACATTTTAAAAAGAATATTTGGCATTAAACCTTCTTTTAGTAATGGCTCAGAGCGAGTAGATATATCAATTAGTTCACCAATCTTTATTTCCGGGAATTCTGATATTTCTCTTCCAAACATCTTATTATTTCCCCATTGATGCAAAATGACTTCGCCTGTATCTGTACCTGTTGCTAGCTCTCCTGTAGTTTCCCCCAAACTCAGGGAAGATATCTTGATTTCATCAGACCTTCCAAGGGCTCGAGATATATCAACTTGTAGCATCGTGCTATTCTCAGGGTGGTTGTAGTATTCTGCGTCCCATATCTTTACAGTTCCATCACCATGCGATGCCAGAATTACTTCACGGTCTTCAAACTTTTTCGGTGGCTTCTTGCTTTGATTAATTTCTTTTGGGAAAAGAGGCTGTACCTCACGCTTTTCGATCATACTGAGCCACCGCGATCTATCGATAGGGGAAATATCTAATAAATCGATGAAAGGGTGCACAAATGAGATTGAGGGGTGTAATATGTTTGTAGGCGGAATAGGAGTCCCAGTAGGAAAGCTAAGTGTCAGAAGTTCACCCGAAGTTAATAGAGCTAATAAGGCTAGGGGATTTTGTGCACCTGCATAATGAGGAGAAGAGCTAGGAATTAGACAATAGTCAATAACGTCAGCTCTTGTAGGCGTAGGTAATTGAACTTCTCTTTTTCCTCCAAAAAACTCGGATAGTATCTGCCATGTTGATGTTGCATAGACCGGAGTTGTGCCAAACTCAATGATAGTTAGTCCATTTCTTGTATTCCCACCGAGTAGACCTCCGGCAATGAGTAGCATAGTATCTTCTGGATTATCTCTGCAACACCATGATATCTTGACAAAATGTTCTTCTGGTAGATCAGAGGGTTCATACCGTTTTTCTACAGAGGTTTTAAAGGTTGGATCGGAAAGATTTTTTTCACTGATTAAACGGCCATCTTTCGGGTCCCAAAACCTTATGCTGGAATCTCCATGTGCTGTTCCAATAAAGGTACCTGTTGGATGCCAAAAGACTTGGGTTAGACTTATCGTCCCACCTGTGCTCGAGCTCAAGCGGTCAGTTTGGTTTTCTGGTAAAATATTCCCAAAATATTTAATCGCCTCGTTTTGTTTAAATGAATACAATACGGCACCCTCAGAATATCCAATGAGTAACTGATCAACATTTCGGGGATGTAGTTGCATGGAAACTACCGGTACCTTCAATAACTTTTTCGTTTTTTCCTGCCAGAAATTTGGTAGCTGGAGCGGAGCTAACTTTTTTTGATCCAAGTCGTAAGCCAAGACCTTACCGGTTTGTAAACCAATGAAAACCCAATCGAGTGTAGGATCCGTGACTATCGTAGATACAATTCCAGGCAGAATAAGACTTGCCACAATTTTTTTGGTGAAAAGACTCCAGACAGTGAGTCTGTTTTTAGAGTCAATGCTTACGAGTCTCTCAGCACATAGCTGTAGATTTCTCACGGAGGTTCGATGGGGAAAGTTAAGAATAAACTGTGCTCCTTCTCGAGTAAAGATATAGATCTGACCACTACCAAATTTTGTCTCTTTTGTTCCTAAAACAAGAATAGACTGGACAGGATCGTATGCGAGACAACTATGTTGAAAGTCAGTTCTGGAGGATAATCTTTGTGGTTGCGGACAGACCAAATTTGTGAGTTAATTCCAAAGTGCGACTGGATGGCAGGCGCAAAGTTTTCTGGGATAATTCCGGCAGATAAGTCATTTTGAACTCCTGCCTTCTTGGAACGAAGAAATGATGCCATATTTTCTCACTATTCTAGTAGATGATAGTGAGCTAATGAAAAAGGACTGTTGCCTCATCCTTCGAAATGATTCATTCATACTAGCACGTGATGAATGCCAGGGCGGTTTGGTTTAATAAGAAAAATGACTGCATTTTTTTCGAGCGTGAAACCAGCTTTTGGTTCCTTGATCGATAGCATACTGCAAAACCTTTAATGTGCTTATATCTACATCATCCTGAAGTCTTCTTAGCACGAGGCTATATTTTAGAGCGGTGTAGTAGGTTGTACGGCGCAGAATTAATGTAGGCTATCGCAGAGTCCTGTAATTTGACTTATTGTGTGACCAGCAACTGTAAATCTGAATGTCTAGCCCTGCGTGTATGAGACTGGAGCAAAAAAATATAGAAAAGGGTCCTTGAAATTCTGAAGGTTCGAGATCGCGCCCTGGTAGACTGAATTCCAACAATGCGATGGTAGATAATCCTTGTAATGCAGGGTAATTGAAATAATATCGTTATTACTTTGAGGCCTGAGGCCTACATACTAGTTATTATCATCGTTAACTATAGCCTGGCGATGTGTAGAAAATAATAAAGCGGAAAGATTTGAGACAATTAATTGCTCAACCAACAGCACCTTCAGTATGCCGAAAAAACCACATTTCGGTCGTGGACGTAGAAACCTCAAAGAATTAAAGAGGAAGAGGGACGATAGTAGAGACAGTATCCGAGATGCCAGTAAAAGAAAGCGAGACAACGAAGGGAACGAGACGGCCGCAGATTATATCGGGATTGGCATCGAGAACGAGGAAGACCAAGTAGAGATCGAGAGACCTTTCTATGGTATGCTAGAGGAAGAGGAACAAGAATACTTTCGACGAGCAGACGAATTACTTGAGAGCAATAATTTTCCTGACGAAGAGCAACGTTCACTCTTTTTAGAAAACGTATATCGAGAAGCGGAAAACAAGGAGCTAAAGATAGCCTGTAGTCAGTCCTGCTCACGACTTATGGAAAGACTTATAATTTTAAGTACAATTGAACAAAAGAAAAGATTATTTGTAAAATTTGCCGGTAATTTTTCTCATCTTATCAGACATCGATTCGCCAGCCATTGCTGTGAAATGCTATTCAAACAATCGGCATCCGCTGTCTCAGAAGAGCTTGTTGCAATTTCTAAATCCAAAGATAATATAGTTGATGAAGAACTTCCAAGCATGGAGACGCTGCTACTGCAAACACTAGATGAGCTCGAAGGAAATATAATACCACTTATCACTGATCGATTTGCGTCCCACACTCTCAGGGTTCTTCTTATTATTCTTGATGGTCGCCCACTTATTGAAACATCCACTAAGTCCTTGGTTCAGAGTAAACGAAAAGAAAAAGTTGATGTTTCCCATTTAAGCGGTATATCTAGTTCTCAGTTACAATCAAAACGCTCGGTTCCATCCTCATTCACATATTCAGTGGAAAAGATAGTTCTTGATGTTATTGATAATCTGGATACATCCTTTGTTCGTGTATTATCTACGCATCCCACAGGAAATCCAACACTACAGCTCCTTCTGGAACTCGAACTTACAAATCCAAATCTTAAGAAGCGACTAAAGACAAATGAGAAAACGATAATGTCTTTCCTCCTACCCGACTCCCTTCAGGAGAAGGATAGCGAATCATCCATACTTATCAATGGTCTTCTTTACGACCCCATTGGTTCACGTCTCCTTGAAACTGTTTGCTCGTTTGCTCCGGGAAATTTATTTAAAAAAATATATAATTTATTCTTTAAACAACGAATAGCAGCAATTTTACGAAATGAGATATCTTCTTACACTGCTATCCGCGTTCTTTCACGTATAGGCAAGCAAGACCTTGAAGATGCTGTAGAGGCCACTATACCACAAATTCCAGGGCTCCTGGAAAGGAATAGGACAGCTACCGTCAAGGCATTAGTGGAAAGTTGCCACGTCCGAGGGGTAGATACTAGAGCCTTGATTAATGCCATCTCAACAACATATGGTGACCATCCTGAGACTTTGCTGCTAAAAATGACCTGTATGGAAACTACTACCCTTCTGTCATTAACAGCGCCAGACGGTAATGATGAAAGTAAAGCTCAAAATAATGTTCAGCCAAAGTTATCATCAGCTCAGCTACATGGTTCTCTTCTTGCACAATCGCTCCTCACATGTCTAGGTCCGCCAAGTGAGCTCATACAAAACTCATTGCTTTCTCTCCCGCCACAAATCCTATTAGCTCTTTCATTACTAACAACTACGAGTCATATAATCCAATCTGCGCTCTCTCCATCTCTACCCGTGTCATTTCGACGCAAACTAATCAACTCTCTTCTCTTCTCAACTCATATTCCTGATGATGAGCAAGCTCCCATCATCACTCTCTCGCTTTCATCAATCGGATCGCACGTAGTAGATGCTTTGCTCGTTTCCACTGCCTCCCCATCTGATACTGCCAATAGAGGCACAACGCCATTATTCTCTTATGCCGAACGTATATCTTCGATTCTCATCACGCAAGAAAACACTATGCGGAACTCTTATTCCGGACGCATCGTCTGGCGTAACTGGTCTTTAGACGTTTACAAGCGTGCACGAAGCGACTGGGTCAAGAAAATAAAGAGTATAACGCTACCTGAGCCTAAAGATCCACCGATTGGTCTGACAAAGATGCCAGGAAAAGGTGTCGACATAATAGAAGATAGACCTATAAATATAACAACTAAGACAAAGAGCTTTGGGATTAATGGGTTCAATGAGGAATTTTCAGGTGAAAAGTCAGCGATTGAAAGAGCTAGAGAAAAGTTTGCTATCTCCAAAATAGCCAACGATAGGTATTCTCAAGGTGTAGTCGCTAAACATAATCTATAACGATCACGTTATTCCCTTATTAAGATTAATTTTGTCTGAGTGATATCCTGCAGATGCCATTTTCTAACTGCAAGATCGTATCACACAACCTTTTACTTAATTAATCGTCGTATAATTCCAACTTATGTTGTATTGGCCAAGCTCCATCCCTCTATCCTCATGTGCCTCACAGTACTTCTATTCAAAAATTGAAAGACTTAGCTGACTTTCGAAATAAAAGAGACACAAGTTCTATGGAGTATTGTGGTGTAGAGTGATTAGTAGCGGCACTTTGGAAGATCAGATTATCTCAATACACCCTTCTTGGCTCTACCCAGATGACGGATAGGGCCCTGGCCACGAATTGAATAATGAGCTCCGACACGCAGGAATACGGCTATGCAGGTGACCTGTCTCATTTTTAATAATTTATTGTGAATGTAACTAACCAGCCACGACTGTCGCCGGATCAATTAATGTCAGTATACAACAAAGCAAGTCCAGAATAAAATAAGATAACTAATAAAACCTTGTGAGACAGGGTTCCCTAAATCTTGTTGGACACATAGGAAGTTAGAATTACTGACGCCGACAAATTCTTCACCTTCCAGTGGTGCTGATGTGATCGTTAATTTTTCTCTGCATATTTATGATAGCAACGAACAATCGCATCAGAATCGAAGTCGAAATCAAACATAGACACACCTATAATCGGCGACTTCTCATCAATTTCGGTCTTATCATTCTCGCGGGAGTCCTCTACTTTGATTTTCTAGACAACCTCACCTCGACGATCTACAAAGTCATTATGTAACGAGCTAGGACTTTCGGCCAATTCAAGAAACCAATGTCATAATTTAATGTATATATTTTCTGTGAAGAATTTAGGAGCGGGAAGCTACGGTGCTTTGTAATTAAAGTGCCTGTTCCAGATCCCCTGGCCCTTTACACGTGATCTGATAATACTCCGGTAGAGAGAGTAGATTTACAGACTCGCTTGCGCCGACCAGATAATGATGGGCCCTATAGCCTTAAATATCCCAGCCACAACCAGCCGGGCCTAGCCCGTAACAAATTACTCCAATTGTATACTGGAGCTTGTCTCATCAATCACCGGGCATCGCCCACTACCAAATTTACGACACTACGAATACCCGCAAGAAGGAGGTTAAGCCATAACATACAAAGTTGGAGTCATGGTTTATGTGGGATTCTGCACTTGAGAAAAGACTGGCGACTAAGGCGTGGATAGAGATAACCAAGAGACCTCTAGTGGGAATGATAGGCCTGATATTTTGGAGGTATATTCGATTTTAGAACGATTGTAGGTGCCGAGACCAAGGTTTGAGCTAATTAGCCAGGACTTCTATTGTCGATGTCATAGGACACTATTCACATGCTATATAGACGCTAGGACTAATACTGACTCACTTTTATGTATAAACATTGTTTAGTTAGCCGACCTGTCCTCCTCTCCATGGATTACAATTATATTAAGCTAAGTTACGAGGAATGATAAGGCATTTAGTCGATATGATTAATTGTGTCAGAAGAAAGCCGGAAATGTGTTTCAGGTAATTACCAAGCTATATTATTTCTACATCAAGATTTATTCATTGATTTAGTTTTATGTTTACCGGGCACTAGTTACAACTAAATCCCCATCCCTGAGGGTACATGGTGACTGCTAAGTAATACTAGATATGATGCGCAGTGGCAAAGGCCATGAAAATACAATTGGAAACTGCGAGCGCTATGCAGTGTATTACTCACTTTACTAGATCACACGTTGCGGATAGGGCAGGTTTTTGATAGAAACCTAGCCTTTTCCAGTATAGAGGCGAATCGCTTAGCATCATGGGAGGTGCTGGGAGGAAAATTGAGTGAGCCCATACTTCGTCGATGGCCGGCCGATGCGAGTCTTTCTCGCAGAAGGGGGGAAAATTCTAAGTGAATGATTGACTTGTTAGTCCCGCAGGAACAAGTCAGAAAGGCATCATTATGATGAAGCCTTTCGTGATAAACACGAAAGTCATCGTGTCCAGTGCGGCATTCGATTAAATACTCGAGATATCGGCGAGGGAGTCGTAGTTTCACAGAACACCTCTAGAGAAATAGCATTCCTAACTAAAAATAGGCAGAGATAGCACGGGATTGCTACCATGCTGATGTAAAGTCCCATATTTGCCTTTGTATCTTTGCGCAGACTCCGGCAATGGATGCGATAGAGGGAGCCGGTTGGCGAGCCGCTTCTCCGGCCAACTTTTCGGCTATCTCATTACCTGGAATACCTATGTGACTAGGAGACCACACTACTTGGGTTTTGCCAGCGAAATGCGAGATCCCGACTATCCAAAATTACCATTTGCGAGGACTTAGAGAGCGAATGATTGAGGAGGCCTTGTTTTGCCTCTTGATTGTCTGGGATGACGTGGGTGCTGGTTGCGAGATGATTTGAAGGGGCAGCTGCAGCGGCCTTAAGCCATGCCAGGGCGCCGATGATTTCTGAGTCATAGACCTCGAAATCGGGGCCGATGGCCACCCTCCCTTGAGCTACAGTGATGTCCTTATGGAGAACGATGACACCTGCCCCAGCAGACCCATCGCTTTGCTTTGAGCCTTCCAAGAAGACATGGATGTCTTATGGTGGTAATACACTGATACACTCGGAAAATTCTTGGGCAGAAAAGTCTGCTCGAGTACGATTAAGCGGGGCTTTGAAAGATGGAGGTAAGAGCCGATGGCCGGGGAAGGGCACAACGAGCTTAAATTTTTTCGTGAGGCGAGATTGTCCGCGACTGTCTTTTTATCTTCTGATCGAAAGATGAAAGACGTCCGCGGCAGCTAGCCTAACAGCGGAGCGGAGGCGTATCTTAAGTAGAATATGAGCTGGCTTGAGCCACACCTCTCTCAGAAGTGCAACAGTAGGAGTGGCTCAGTATACTGGTATAAATACTCTGGCCAGGTTAAATAGATCTCGAGAGATCATGTCTACTAGGTGTTGAGATCGGGTTGAAGTTGAACGTCCTCGGCGGAGATAAGTGTGACCGCGCCACCAGACCTCGGCACCGTGCAAGGAGACCGGTGGCGCCGCAGCTAGAGCTGCAGTGCGCAGAAAAGTTTTTGATACATCACGGTTGGTATTTCCAAGCTGTCGTACATGGGCGCTAATCGGTTGCGTTTTAGCACCCCATTCTTGAACATGTTGTTTGAAAGAGAGCTTAGTGTCGAGGAAGACACCTAGCCATCTTAGAGTAGAATTTGTATTTCTTGGAACGCCATTGAGGATTACCTGAGGAGAAGGTTGACGGGATCTGTAAATATGAAGGATTTCAGTTTTTTTTTATACCAGAGAGTGTCCATTCTGCTCGTACCAACTGGTGATGCTTCCGACCCTGTTGGTGGTCAGACGAGAAGTATCGGCCAGAGTTTTTGCGACCGAGAGGATCGCTACGTCATCTACGTATCCAAATGTAGGAGACCCAAGTTTGAGTAAAGGCTCGAGAAAGAGGAGAAATAGCATGGGGAAGCAAGGAATACTTGGCACAAGCCATGCTTAATATCCAAGAAGTCACCGATAAAATCATCTACTCTAAGGCGAGCCTTCCTGCAAAAAGCAAAGGAAGCAGCCCGATTCACGTATGGTAAAAGCCATCCCTGTTCGCGAAAACGAACGCGGAGAGAGCCAGGCTGAATACTATCTAGGTGAAGAGCTGAGATAGTGAGGTGGTCATGTCCCGGAGTAGTTGACTAAACTTCTAGAAGATAGTGGCGCACTTCATCTTCATCTACGGAGAGAGCTGTGGGGATCGCACGCAGTGAGCAGGTGGGAGTATTCCTACATATATCCGGTTGACCAATTGTGCGGGCAATCTCAGTTCGGAAGAATATGTCTGCATGCTCGGTCGGTGTGCTATACGTAACACCTTGAAATTGAATCGGAGGGGGGCTCTCTGACGCCAACTATTCCTCCCCTGGTATAGAATGCGTGTTCCCTATTAGGCCAGCTGGCTGCTTGCCACTGAAATTTTGCAATTTGGTAAGAGCTCGTTGAAGTTGGCAGTAACAAGAGAAGAAGAAGAGCCGCTTCTTGGTTATCTAGACAGATAGTTACATTGGTTGCATAAAAAGCCATGGGATTGTAGAGAGCAGCTGCAAGGCCCTCTGTTGTTCCAGAAATCTCAGCATCATACATTTCTGCCGAGTTTCCGAGCGGGATTGATCCTCGCCCAATCTCCTGCGTAGGACCTCGGTAGATGGCATAGCCCGCATCTGCTCGGTCTTCTATTAGAGCTCCGTCTGAGAATACGAACAAGTCTAGGGTAGGTCATGTAGCCTGCCATTAGTTGAAGGAATTTGGTCCCAGGAGTCTACCTACTGCCCCAGTTTTGATTAGCTTTTCCTCACGGGATGCCGACCATGGTGCGGGTATGGTGTCATCGGAAAGTTCTAACGGGATCCTCTGGAGGATCCAGCGCATGCGACTAGTATTCCAACGCCTACGAAGAGGGTGGTGCGGGTCAGGGCATACTTGTTGTGATATGAGACGAAGTAGTTGTATACTGTGGCCTTGAGCCACACGCAGTGCTCCAGCATCATCACTAGTGTACTGGTTAGGCGAGCATGTATAAAGTTCCATACATGTACTCACAATAAATGGATACAGGTTTAGTTTTATACTTTCTGTCCATATACCAACAGCATAGTATTGTATGAGTCTATTCACTGCCACCCACTCTATATAACATCATCCACTCCTTATCAGTCCGCATTATGACTTCCGCATAGCTCATAGCTCATAACCATAACAATATTGTATGAGTGGGCTACATGGTACTCTAAAGAAACTTCTCAAAAGATGATCTCGCAGATACAGCATAGGATCAATGATGTGGCTCAAGAAGCACTCTCAGTATATCGCACTACACTGGTAGTAACACGCCTACGGGAAGCTGGCTGGGGCCCTGCCAAATCGTGGCTCAACCGCATTCACGATCGCCTAGCTGTTCGAATAGCTGCTG